TGACATGGATGTGGTCTATAGATCATATTCAGGCTATATATATAAATAAAAAAAATCTGCCTGGGGAAATTGTTGTAAGATTCTCGAAGAGGCATGTGAGGGATGCAATCCTGAAAGCGGTTGCTGGAACACCCCTGAAAGTGGGGGAAAATACCATCAGAACGCTAAAGGATATTCCATTTGAAGTAAGACAACGGAGAAAGAAGTACAAAGAACTTGTGCTTTTTCTTCAGACAAACTCAATTGGATATAAATGGCTATTTCCAGAATGTGTTACTTTCAAGATTAAAGACAAAAAAGAAAAGATTGACTCTGTTCAGAAAGCTCAAGAATTTCTAAGGGTTCAGCTGGGAAGACCAGAGGATGAGAAAAAAGAAGAGGACAGCAAGTCCAGTGGCGAGCTAGACTCTGGTTCTTCCGGAGAGGACTCTCTGTCAGAGCAAGGGGCAGCAGCCCCAAAAACTCCTTATAAGCTGCTGACGAGAAGGGGAAAGGAGACGTAAAGGCTGAAGGACTCTGAATTGTGCCTTTGTAACTTTTGATATGGGATGATCTTAGACAGTTAAATTTAAACTTTAAAGGAAAAGTATTATAAATGTTTGACTCAGTTTATAAAGGGATCAATGATGGGAAGACTTGATGTAACTAAGCTAGTTGGAGGATCTCCTCTCTTGGGTTTTTAGTCAGTAGTGGGTTCTTTACTTTATCCCGTATATGTAGTTTCCCTTCCCTTTTCTTCTGTTATAGTTTTTGTAGTGTTATAAAAAAATAATAAAAAATCCCCTCCGGGGGCTCAAAAACAAAACCAAAAAACATTGGCTGCCAGTCTGCTTCTGGGTCCAATTCAAGGTGCTGGTTTATCCTTCATATCTAAAGGAATGTCTCCTCCCACGTGTAAAGCACACTCCGCAAGTTGCCACCTACTAGCTATTCCCCCACTGAAGTTTGTATGTGGCTATACACACCACTGGGCAATGCTTCTTCCTGACCTGGCTTATAGAGAAAGCTGGACTGCTAACATCCACTATCTTGATAGTTTTCAGAATATAATATTGTGTGTGTGTGCGTGTGTTAACTGCTGTCAAGTCTCTTCCAACTTATGGTGACCCTATGAATTAATTACTTCCAAAATATCCCATCATTAACAGTTACAGAAAGGTAACAATTTCTGTTACCTTTCTTCATTGTCCAACTTTCATACCCACACATAGTAATGGAGAATACTATAGTATGAATTATCTTGATCTTGGTCATCGACGATGCATCATTACACTTCTCTAGCTTCTTCATGGCTGCCCTTCCCAGTCTCAATATTCTTCTGATTTCTTGGTTGCTGTCTAGAGATGGGCATGAACTGGAAAAATGGAGGTTGATCCTGGTTCATGGGGTCACACGAACCACAAACTTTCATGAGCCTCCCCATTTACTGAACTGGTTTAAATGGTTTTTGCAAGCTGCACCGCACATATGTGAAGTCCAAGTGGCGAGTTCAAATAGAAGATCTTCCCTCCCTCCTTTCTGATGGCGGCAGCTCCATGAGGCCAACAGAATGGAAGGGGGGAAGATCTTGCAAAAGCCATCTAAAGGAATAATTCCCTTTAAATGGCTTTTGCAAGCCCCGCACATGTGAAGTCTAAGTGGTAAGTTCACTCACTTCCAGGTGAACTCAAGAGGTGCACTTGCAGAGCCATGGTAGTGGGTGAACTTACCGCTTGGACTTCATTGGAGGTTCATTGCAGGCTCAATCACACAACCCTCGGTTCACAAACTACAAGGTGTTCATCACAAAATCAGGTTTGTGATGAGGTTCCTGCCCATCTCTATCAACCAACCCTTTTGACTGATGATGGAGCCAAGGCATAGAAAATCTTTAACAGTTTCAATTTCTTCATTGTTAACCTTAAGGTTGTGTAATTACTCAGTAGTCATTACTTTTGTCTTCTTGATCAGAAGGTTTTAGTATCCCACTTTTCTTTACCCTAAGGAGATTCAAAGCGGCTTACAATCACTTTCCCTTCCTCTCTCCACAACATTCACCTTGTGAGGTAGGTGGGACAGAGAGAGTTCTGAGAGAACTGTGACTGGACCATCTGGAGGAGTGGGAGAAACAACCATGGTTCTCCAGATTAGAGTCTGCCGCTCTTAAGCACTGCACCACATTGGTTCATCTGTAATCCTGCTGTGGCACTTTCTGCTTTTATCTTCATCAGTAGTAATTTCAAGTCAATGAGTGTGCAAAGAAAGGCAGAACATATGATCTCATCTAACAACAGATCTTTCAAAAAAGCAGCAAAAAACCCCCCAACACCCTCAGTAGCTTTATAGGGGCTTGTGGCCCAGCAGGTGGGGCTCTGTGGCCCACCTGAGGGTCCTGGCTCATGAGTTCAAGACTACTAAGCAGTAAAGAACATGCTCTCTTAATCTCAAACTCTTCCAAAAGATAGGAGCAAAGATCAACAAAGTTCACATCCAGGGTGAGGAAATCTGCGTTATCCTATGAGAAAGGGCAGTAAGCAAGCACAGCTGATGCATGGATTAGCTGGAAAAAATCCACTTAATGAGAATTTGCCTAGGTAAAGGTAAGATATGGGGTCTACTCATAAATTACATGTGGTACACCCATATGATAATTTAATCCAACAACAACTACCTTAAGAGGAAATAAAACTACCTTCTGAGATTATGAAGATGACTGCTGCCTTGTATGCCTTTTATTTATTGAACTAAAAGTTGTTGAGCTTTGTGGAATTTAATTTTGCATCTGAAGAATACAGTGCTGGAAAACTCAGATAACTTGGGAAGGGTCACTGGGGAAAAGGCTATTTAACCCTCTCCTGTGATTTAAATCCTCTCTATGAAGTTGCACTTCATTCTGTGAGAAGAAAGTCAGGGACGGTAAAAGATGCTGTGAGAGGTGACGAGGACGGTTCAGTTTCCCTCATGCACATGCCACTTCTGATGTTGAAAGTAGATGCCATCCACCAAGCCACCATTTTACATGTGAACAGGGTAAAAGTATAAACAACAAACATGGCTGCCTCCATGTCTAGTATGATCCTAACCATATGCATCGCTATACATTTTTTACTCTGGGCATAAAAGATGTACATGTAGTAAAGACCGAGGCCAATTACAGCTTTTCAATTTGTGTTCATCATGCTATCTATACATGGGCCTTTAAATAGCTCCATTGTCCCACCCAGCTCCAGAGGAAGTCAGGGTACGGACAGTAATAGCCACTAAAGTTGCCTCCAGCATCCTCCAACAGATACGTACACAGGGATTTCATGTTGTTTGCGCCACAAAAACATCTTATGAAATGTGTGAGGTAACTTGTATATCTATAACTTAGCACTGTTGTGAATAAGTATGATGAACCAAAATGGGAGGAAGGAGACAATTCTGCATACAGCTATTCCTTTTCAGCCAATTGTGTAAACTATACTGGCAAAAGAGAAGGAGAGGAGATTTTCATCATGTGAGAGCTTAGACCAATTGCTTTGGAAATTGTTTATGAATTGTTAAAAATATAGTGGCTGAATTTTTTCACAAAGCAGATGTCCAAATGGAGATTCTATCAGTCCAGATCCTTTGCCCACACATTGTTAGCCCACAAAAAGAACAGCCATTACATGAATGAGCATTTGCTTTCTAGTAGGACTGTCCTTGTAATGAGAACCAATTATTTCTTGTCATAAGACACAATCATGTCAATGCAGTCCAACATGCTGAGGTATCTTGTGATGAAGTGGACAGCTTGTTCACCATGATGTTGTTGCTATCTTTGCATTTGAGTTTAGCTCTCCCACTCACCATTCTTCGTGTATCTGCTGTGGAACATGCAATAAAAACAGTAAAAAGTAATTAGAAGTTGTGGAAAAATCCAAACAAGATAAACACTAGAGTACTGATATTAAATGTGTAATTATATGATGTCACTCCTGATTCTGTGACTTTTCTCAGCTATTAGAGAGGTTACAAGTGGGGGCTACAAGACTCATGGGAGGGAATCCCATCCTCCCCCCAGCACAGCTCCATGCCTTTACAGCTGCCTCCAGGCCCAGCTATGGCAGCAACATGTCTGGGAGCCTCTCCAAGCCTGGAGCAGCTCCCAACAATGCCAGGCCCAGAGTGGCTCTCCCAGACACTGGTGCCACAGCCAGGGCTGGAGCGGTTCCCTGAATGCCAACACAGCTAGGCCAAGAGCCGTTCCCCAGACGAGGACAACACTGAGGCCAGGCCCTGAGCTGCTACCAGACTCCTCAGAGCAGCTCCCCAGATGCCACAGCTGTGCCTGGGCCCAGTCTGAAGGGAGCAAAAGCTTGCACTGTGCCAATTAGCTTTGACCATAGTTGAAGACACTGCTCATCTAATACTTAACTGAAGTCAAGGTGGGAGAGAGAAAGTCACACTGGAGAGGGCAGGAGCTAGGAGGGCATATGTACACCACCCATGATCTACCTCTTATCTCTGACCTGTGGATAAGAGAGTCTGCACCAGCTCTAAAAGAAAGGCCCAAAAGCATCAGTTTAAGATGGTGATAATGGAGCAAAAAGATATGTCACTCCATTAAGAAAAAGGGTGCAGAAGCAGCTGAAATGGATTTGTTTTCAAACTATTTCTGAAAATAAATTTATGAAAGTTTTACAGTTAAGGAATACATACTAAATGTTCAGTACAAACAATACAACAAAAATAAAGTAAGAGAAATCCATTGGCCTATTTTTGAGATGGAAGATTAAGGATGAGTAAGGGCAAAATTAAAGAAGCACCAAAAAGTGTTGATGTAAAAGGCAATACTGACATAAAAATAGTTTTTATATCTCACAAGATGAGAAGGAGACTTTGGGAAGTTTCACACACACTGAATAATGTACATTCAATCCACTTCCAATGCATTTTAGTGATCATTTACAAGTGTATTTTCTGTTTCACACAGTAAAATCCTATTGCAAAGTAAATTAAAAGTGGATTTAAAGTTTATTGTTCAGCATGCCTGAAAGCACTTTTAGGAGACATTTTAACATTCTCAAGAAAAGAACAAAAATGTTTTCTAATGACCAATTTCTTGTAGGATAAAATTTACCTTTTTAATCAGCACTTGTAGTCTAGTCAGATTTGACAGTTGCATAACTCAGAGGTAGACAGAGGCCCACCACTGGACCTACAACACTCAGCCATGAAATAATGTAATTTGTGCTCCTACAAAGCAAAAAAGGAAATACATGGAAGCTACATTGGAAAAATGTAATATACCATAGCTGTCTCTAAAAAGTTTGGACACCATTTTGAACAGATATCAATCTTAAAATCCAATGTGACATTACAGTCATTTATTAAACAGACTAAGGAGAAAAAAATGCTCAGTGGCAGTTCTGAGCTTCTAATTAACATAGCTCACTTGAGATTCTGTTGTGCCACTTTTAATTGAGAATACGTAAACAGTCAGCCAAAAGTTCAAGGGTCTGGTGCCTTCTCATCCAAGCCATATTGCTGAGGAGCTGCTCAGAAATTTCAGCTGGCAAATGTGAAACACTCTCCAGTAACCCGAAACGCTAATTTGGGGTGTAAAATACACTGAATGAAAATCTCAGATTTATATCCTAAAATGTCTCTAAAAATGGTGGTCCTGAAGTCCTTGCTTCAAAAATGTGGAAGCCCTATGAGAATGATCCACCTCAGAGGCTGACAGATGCAACTGGTTTCAGAACTCCCTGGGAGAGTTTGAGAACTAGGTCAGGAACAAGGAAGAGGCCTTAGTAGGAGACTGGACTATGTGGCTTCTGGAGCTTTGGGCAAGGAATGCTCCCTGGAGTCCTCTGCCCCTGCCCTTCTAACAGAGCCCAAGGTATATGGATGAAGTGAGGGTGCTAACAAGAGAAGATGTCTTAAGCATTTCTGGAAGAACGTTTATGCTCAGTCAGACACAGCACAGCACAGAGAACATTTGAAAGCCTATGCACTGTTGGTGACAGCAGCAAAGACCTTCTTTTCTGCAACTATTGTGTTAGCTGAATAGTTTCCAGCGCTATTTCAAATTGTACAGAATATATGACATTTTAGGCAGCATTTGGCTGGCCATGATTTGACCATAGGTTCTGACACTTCAGTAGATTCTCTTAACATAAAAGCTGACTGATCTGGTTCAACTTTGACTCCAATTTAGATGCAGATTAGATGACAGAAACACCATCTGGTAAGGTTTCCATGAACAGTTTTGATTTGGTTTTCTTAGATGGATATTGAGAGGATTATGGTATTTGGGAAGGCCACATCCTCTAAATTGGATAACTTCTACTTATAGTTATTAAAATCTTGCCTCAAACAAAATCATGGCTTGTTTGACCTGGACTATGAACAGCTCTGACAGAGGAAAAATTCTCCAAGGATTTAAAGAAGGCTGTTAGAACAATTAATATCAGATGGGAATTATGACCCACAATTTAACACCTAACTACAGAGCTACAGAATCTCTGGGACAAAAAAATCTAAGCACTAGACAATTTCCTACATTGCCAAATTTGTTACAGGAAGATAAAAAGCAACAAGTTTAAGAAATTGTAATTTAACCTGATTTTGTCTGGCTATTAAAAACTTACAAGGTTCTTGAGAATCATGCACCACCACAAATTTATATACAAAATTTACTTGCATTTGTTGTGAGTTATTGAAGGGGAATATAATAACCTACATAGCCAAACTCACATCTAGCAGCTCCTCACCTATTTCCTTTATGTGAACTGGATAATATTGAAGCCATAAATTCATTTGTCCGACAGGGATGAAGTACAAAGAACGGTTGTCCAAGTAATGGATGTTCCTGAAAAGAAGCACAGCCTTGTTAATTTTTAATGAACTATACTCAATATACAAAGTAGTTTACATTATTACATTTGTTCTCATTACAGCCCCATAGGGTTGGTTCTTTAAGTTTCCTATTCTACAGAGGAAAAGCTGAGTTTAAGTTATATCAACTTCCCAAGATTATCCAAAGAAGCATCTACTCATTGGTGATGTACTTGTTTTTCATTGACACTCAACACGCTTACAGTGTAGTTTAAGAAGTACAACCTTCTACATCCACTAAGTCATAACACAAATAGATATTCCAGTTAGACAATATCATAATGAAAATATCAAAATAAAAATATATATTTAAAAATTAAGAAAAATACACTGTTTTATCTAAGACTCCTGCTGGCCTACGAAGGCTATAGGAATCAGGTTTTCTAAAAATGTTACAAGTTCCTGGCTCCAGTATGTGCATGTAAGGCAGTCTTAGCTTTCAGGATATTTTAAGTAAAGGTCTTTTGTTCTTCTGGCTAACTCTAGCAACATATTAACTCTATCTGACAGCCTTTGCAGACTAGAATTTATAAGGGAAAACTTGTCTTGCATCCTTTAGACTACCTATAAAAGTAGTTTTAATTTAATCTCTGGGCATTTCCAGAATGCAAATTCAACATTCACCTTGCAAAGTTTTCAACTTTTGCACTAGGGTTGCCAGGTCTGTGTTGGAAAATACCTGGAGACTTTGGGGGTGGATCTGGGAGAGGGCAATGTTTGGGGAGGGGAGTGGCCTCAGCATGGTACAATGCCATAGAGTCCACCCTTCAAAGCTGCCATTTTCTCCAGGGGAGCTGATCTCTGTCAGCTGGAGAACAGTTGTAAAAGCAGGAGATCTCCAGGATCCACCTGGAGACTGGCAACCCTATTCTACACAGACATCTAGGGTGGTGCAAATTTCACCACAGGTAACCCCTAACAACAGCAATCCTCTGTCTTCATTCCATAAGCAGAAATTTACCATGGGACCCACTGTTATTTTGAACACATTCATGTATTTTTTCATATTTTTGATGGCCCAATGGATGCTTTGCCATCAGCAGTGTTTTGTTGTTGTTGTTGTTCAGTCGTACAGTCGAGTCCGACTCTTTGCAACCCCATGGACCAGATCATGCCAGGCAGGGGTCATTTCGGGGGGGGGACGCGAGGGGATGCCGTCCCCCCGGGTGAGGTGCGGGGGGCGGGGCTTCCTGCTTCCGGCCACCGCAACTCCAGGAGAAAAAAAGCCGAGGCGCATGGGGAAGAGGGGGCGGCCGGCCGGGCTCTCGCCATGCGGTAAAGCAAGAGGGGGAGAGAGAGTTGTGAGGGGAAATGCGGGGAAAGTTTTTGTGAGGGGCTCTCGGTGGGGCAGGGGCAGCCCGGGCCGTCCGGCGGGGCTCCGTGTGGGCTTTTGTTCTGGAAGGGGCGGGGGCGACGTTCCTGGCGCGGGGCCGGGCCGGACGGCATGTGTGCTTGCTTTCTTCCCTTTCTCCCCAGCCGCCCCTCCCTCGCTCCCCCTCCCCTCGCTCCAGTTTCCCGCCTCCGCGCCCAGAAGCACGCTTTCAACGTGCCTCAGAGGGCTGCGAGGAGGAGGCGGCGGCGAGGGAGAAAGTCCTCCCGCGAATGTTGTGGGCCCCCTCTCCCGAATCCACCCCCAAAGTCTCCTGGTATTTTCCAACCCAGACCTGGCAACCCTATTGAAGCCAGCCATGCATACTCAGCCTAACCTATTTAACAGGATTGTTGAGAGGATAAAATAGATGAAGGGAGAACAATGTTGTAAGTGGCTTTGGGTCACCATTATGGGAGAAAAGTGGGGTATAAATTATATAAATAAGAAATTCAGTTTGGAGATTGTGCAGGAACCCCCCTCCCCTGAGTTTTCAATCTGAGTTTTTAAAGTATTCCTGATTCCCCCCCCCCCCCCACTG